GATCAATTGGATCAACTATCAACTTTCGGCAATGGAGAAAAAAAAGGAAACTGTAGGGCAATTATAGAATGACAGAGGCAAAAAAACAAGAATGAAGTGAAGAAAAGAGTATTTATGGAGCTTTTTTTCCTTTCGACATTTAAAACAAAATCAACCTTGTGGCGGGAGCTCTCTCTCCACTGTGGGGATTGGGCCTGGTAGGTGCGTTGAACATGGATTGGTTTGGGCTTTTACTCACTGGGACATCGGTCATCGTTTGATCCATATTGAAACTTGCGTTGTGGGTGTGCGGGATCTAGGATTCTATGTGTCTTTTCTTTATAGGAGTGGGTAGGGCTTCAGGTTGTCACATTGAGGGGGGTGTTGGTTTGTTTGATTCTGGGTTGTATTGCTTATTGCTTATTGCTTGTGTTGCATGCTCATTGGATGAGGTTGCAAACATGTCAAACTGATGGGGTTTTCAATTAAGGTCAGGTGATCTCGTGTCCTGGGTCGTGATTGCGCGCGTCTTGCTTTTGTATATTGTCGTTGGATGGTAGATAACGGGTTTCTTGGAGGGGTTCTTTTTTTCTCTGGTGACTCTCATGCTGATAAGTACGCCCTGGCAGAATGTCCTTGTTGGACTATTGGGACACCCTGCGGCCGTCGGTCAAGCGCAGAAAAACTACGGCGGATGATACGGACGACACTACTAGTCTGAGCGATGCTGTTACGGGCCGGAAAGATGGGCTAGAGATACCGAAGACATCTGTGGTTAATCCAGATGTATCGGATACTGCGCGTACACCGTGTCTAGGCCAGGAGCCGGAGGGAGATGATGACCTTCCCTTTCCTGCAAGCCAGACTGAACTCGAGTCTTCGCTCCCCGCTGTCGATACTGATAGCCATGCAATCGAGGAATACGAGGCCTCTCATACTGTTTCAGATCATGAGGAGGAACCAGGACTACGGGAGCGGTTGCAGGATGGTAAGTGGCGGAAGGGGAAAAGCTCCATCTACGTGGATGCGTTCAATCTAGCGCTGGAAACTGTGCTAGATGAGGAGGCGCATCTATTCGACGAGGCCGAGATGGAGGTCTTCAAACAGTGGAAGGAGCTCTCATATGAATCACAGTATCTGTATGTTCATTCCAACCACCGACTGAACCTCCTAGCCATCTACTAACCGTAACAGATACGTACGGCTCTTTCTCCGAAAGACCTCAGCCTGGCATCGGATCAACCGACTAGGATACTACTCCGACATCTCAGACCTCACAAGTGTCGTAAATGACCTCCAACGTAGCCGTACCCTCCCCATCATCCCACCCCCAGTAACCGAACCCCCCATCGACACAGACCACCACCCCGACACCCCCAAACTAAGCACCCAATTCCACTTCGCCGACCAAATAGACCAAATCACCACCCTAGAAGAAGCCAGCTCCCTCCTCCTGTTAGACGAGCTCAAAATCCTCGCCAAAGACGCCAAAGTCCAAGGCAAAAGCAAAAAGGACCTCCTAACCGCTCTGCACCGCGCCAGCCAACAACAAACCGGCCTCGACTGGGCCAGCACCAACAAAGCCACCGCCAATCGCGACAGCCACTTCATCCAGAAGATCCTCGACTACACAGGCGACTGTATCCGTCTCGCCGCGGTGCCCCGGGAACTGTTCGAGCGCGTCCACCTCGTCTTCTACCGCTCGACTGAATGGACGGAGAAATCCCTCACCACTATCATCCTGGCGAAGATATCACGCAGGAATTTCCCGGATTATGTCGTTTGTCGATCGAGTTCGATTTTCCCCTCCCGGGCTTTTCTCTTGGAATTTGAGTCTGCGCTGCGGACGCAGTTTGACATGGACAATATTCTTGAATTTAGTGGCACGCCGACGGTGCAATTACTAACCCAGGTCCGGGATTATGCCTACAAGGTGTATCCCCGATGGAAGAAGCTCTGCGAGCAGGAGCAGCAAAAGGAAGACAGTGTTTATGAGTGCGGAGAGGGAGCGTATCTGCGACGCTTCTCGCCCGCGTGGGTCTACACGCGGATTATCCACAAGGGACTTTATCCGCTAGGCAGGTTCAAGGAGTATAAAGAGGAGCACCGACTTCTGTCTGAGTTACTGGGCCAGCGACTGTTTCATGCTGCGCGGCGGGGGTCGTGGTATCAACGGAAAGCACTCCTGGAGGAACACTATATGTGGAATCTGATGTCATGGGAAGGACGCAGCGAGGACGCGCAACGGAAACACTGGCGACGAATTGCGTTGCAGACGTGCGAGGAGGGACTCCAGGATCCGGACTGCCATTTGATTTACCATTATGATTTGCAGAAGCGGATTATGAAGCTTGAGAGGGCGCTTAAGGTGGTTAAACGCGAGCAACATGATTTTAGTCATGTCATGTTGGCTAAACCGGAGGAACGCACGGTCGAGGGTATTCGTATTGAGCGCGAGGATTCGCCTGCGCAGGAGGATACGTCGAAACGGGGGAGACCGACTGTCTGGGTTGATGAGCGGGATGGCGGGGAGTGTCGTGTGGAGAGTATGTGTTTGAGTTGGTATCGGGACCAGGGGTGGAAGGGATATCATTCTGAGGGAGGGATTGTTCGGACGCTGGTGAGTTTAGTTATCTTTTACCGTTCGAAACGAAGTAATGGTTGATCCTGATTTATGACCCAGTTCGGGTATCTCTTCTACGACATCCTCTTCACCTACGCCCCGAATGTCTTTCAGACGCCTTTCCAGACCTGTCCCTTAGATCTCCATACGGACTCCTTCTACGCTACTCGCGCCTCGGAGATCAACCATCGTCTGGTAGAGATCACAAACGGCGAATCAGAGCGTATCCTCCGCGCTGTTCACGCTCGTGAAGCACCTCGCCAGCCCTGCGCTATTGGAATCGATTGGTCCTTTGAGCTGGATGACCTCGTTGATATCGTACGGTGTTTCCGTGGCGAGGCCCTCGCGGCTATTTGCAAGGTGCTGGCGCAGGAGTATCAGCAGCGAGGGGGTGGGATTCCGGATCTGTTTCTGTGGCGGGTGGAGAGTCGGGAGGTGATGTTTGTTGAGGTGAAGAGTGAGAATGATCGGTTGAGTGATACTCAGCGATTGTGGATTCATGTTCTTGGGGGTGCTGGGGTGAAGGTTGAGCTTTGTAATGCGGTTGCTAGGGAGGTGAGGTATAGATAGTTGTCTACTGGTATAGATATCATTGGGGGTGCGTTGTAGATGTTGATATACCCATACATATGGAGTAGACTAGGGTATCTGGCGGGCGACTCATGGAGACCAGATATATATAGTACAGCCTGTGGGCATGATATATCTCAACATACAAAGTCAATATACAACATACGACAAAAGCATCACGAGCACATCTACAACATCTACCGAAACAGAACAGATTTGGTCATGAAATTTTGTTTTGTTTGTCGACGACAGATATAATCCATCACCATCTAATGCCTGCAAAACATACACTAGATGACTTAAAACCCACCCATTCTCAGGGTAAGGGACCGATTCGAAAAGACCTATCCGTGCCAACACACCAACACCCAACCTAAGTGAGTAAAAATCACTTAAGCAACGAGGGTGGAGGCGGTAGCGGACTCGTAACGCCAGGTGGGGGGCAGGACACCGACGGACTTGTAGTAACGAGACAGACGGTGGATACGGGACTCGATGAGAATGAGACGGAACTTGGAGTCCTTGTCCTTGCGGTTGCGCTCAAGGTGCTTGCGGACGGCAACAGCCTTCTTGATGAGGTGGTACAGATCCTCGGGGAGCTCGGGGGCGAGGCCTGAAAAAAAATCACTCTGTCAGCCTTGTTTTGACCAAGCAGAGGCATAATTTTGTTTTATATGATGAGGGATCTGGGAACGGGTCAAGGCGCAGACTTTCCCTGAGGGGCAGCCTGCTCTCGACTCGCGTTCGACCATTTCCTTCTCATCTGGGGGTGTGAGGGAGGGGGATTGGCGTACCGCTGGACTTCAAGATACGGAGGATCTTGTTACCTATTCGTCAACTGTTAGACATTGCTTCTTGACATCAACCTTGAGGAGTCTGAACATACCGGTGACGTGCTTGACCTGGGCAACACCGTGGGAGTCACGGAGGACAACACCAATCTGGGAGGGGGTAGCACCCTTCTTGGCGAGCTTGCAGATCTGGTCGACAACCTGCTCAGCTGGAATGGGGTCAGTATCATGCGCATTTCTCCTCTGCGACGACGGTACTCACGGGTGGTCTTGAGCCAGGAGGGAGCAGAGCGAGAGTAAGGCAGAGCGGAGGAGGCAATGCCCTTTCCCTTGGAGTGAAGACGACCCATTTTGAATGAAGGTGGTTTTGTCGGATTAGTTGTCGACGACGGTGTTGAGCTGCGCGGGATAGAGTGAAATTTCTTCCAAGTCGAAGATCGTGTAGAAGAAGATTGAAACGGAGGGCTGAAGGCGGTGTGCACTCGTGGTGGGTTTGTGGGGTCACGTGGTGCGGGTACGCCTCGCTTAAATTAAGGCTCATCTGGCATCCTTTTTTTTCTTTGCTGATGCTGCCGCTTGATTTCTTTCCTCACCTGCTTTTCGCCGAGTTTGCGACTCAGAGCTTAATGGTGCTCTTTGCGACTCCAATTTCCGGCCCTTTCACGAACAGTTTCACTGTTCAGCTTATATTCTTAAGGTTGGTGTTCCCATGTCCCTCTGGTTATACAGCTTTATATGATGAAACACAACCTTTTTATTTTTTCTGGTACCTCTTATTTTAGGGCAGGTTCTCGTAACCTGCTCAATGAATGGAATGGACTTCTGAAAAAAGCTGTTATCAATCTACGTGTTTATCTGTGGTTTATTCAAGCAATTGCTGACTCGTGGATGTTTAGAAACTTTCAGCCTCGCATTATATTGGAGAGATGTGGTTAATAGGTGATATAGAATTCAATAAAGGAACTTCTCACTCTTTGGTTACTGTTGTCTATGTCGTTTTCCGTGTCTTGAATCCGTAGTTTGCGATTTTCCAGCTGAGTCGTGAGACATGCTCCTGGTGGTAATCACTTTCTGGGCTGTACTTTGTAGCTTCCCAAAGCGAGGGCGTGTTGCCCAGTCCCTATACGATTGCCCCTCGCTCTGGAAGAACAACCATGATGAGCTTTGTAGGGAGGCACAGCGCAAGGCTACACTGAAGTGCCTTGTCGAAAGGCCGGTGGAAGTCGCACGTATCGCTCCATCTCTAGTTGCCCCTCCGTTATATAAGGAATGACAAAATCGCGTGTTAGCGATCGACCACCGATGCAGGAACATCACACCGCTGTTGAAAAATTCTCTCGCAGATCCACTGGAATAGCCTACAATGGAATGAATATGCACGTCAAATCCGCATCCGACTCGTCGCGGAACGTGGGAAACCGTCCTTGTGGGGGAGTTGAGAGGAAATAACATCATCCACTGCGTGCGGCATTTTTAGACAATTGCATTGTGTCATTCCACTGCGAGGCTGCAGGAGAGTGGGTTCAACTGCGCCGTTTAGCCCGTGTGAAGTTGGCTGCCTGTGCTGATAAGAGCTATGCGAACAGTCTGGGTGATTAGTCGAGAGATGAATGTATTGAGATGGGGAATGTCTGCTCTGCGTAAACTTGTGGAGATCCACCGTCACTAAAATCTCATCTTCTAAGACATCCTCAGGTCTGGAGGCTGACCGGGCGAGGACCCCTCATTGTCATGCCCGCGGTGCCTATCTCTGTGACGTGATCTCAAATCACGAGGCTGGTCCAGAGCTGATAGACGGGCAAAGTCGTCGTCGCAAATGAGTCCAAAACCGTATAACATTTCACGCTGTGCCCGTCAAATAAGAGCTTTGACAAGATACCGATCAGCGCTTGGTAGACAGGAGCTGAGCCATGTGGGCCAGACCCAGCTGTGATTTGGTCAGGCGTAGAAAGCTCGAGCAACATCAGCGCCAGGATAGGATCAAATCAAGTGAATCTACTCTGTATACCGGATGTAGCACAGACGGGGGATGGGCCAGTTGGGAATCCGTGAAAGAAACAGAGGTAGATAGAGTATGGTTACTGGCAGCTCCCGCTGTGATCAGTTGGATTGGCGACGGACCTATGGCGATCACGAGGGTGGCCGTGCCCTTGCCACGATCACTCTCACCACCGTGCAGCGAGCCCCCATTGGGCACCTTCGCGGCTGGGCTCGCCTCACAACTGGCCATACAAATGATCGGCCGGGCGGCACTGTGATGGAAATTTGTTATGATCGGTAGTACGGTTGAATGGGCGTAGGCGAATGGCCTTTTTGAGAGGTCTGGAACTTCCGGCGATTCCCCGATGCCCCCCAACAGTTGCCTACCCTAGTCGCGAATGATGGCGCGGATTTGCGGAATCCAATTTTCTTGGGGAATTGATGGTGGTACAGTGCTCGGGTATTGATCTCGTTTAATCTGGGCCAAGACTGAATAGGATTTGGTCCGGCAGGTACAGAGTTGCATGGTGGTAAGACGAACGATAGGTACATCAAACGATGGTACTGTATAATTATAATTATATATCGCCTCGAGTCAGGTGTTTCCCGGATCCAGAGTTACATTACTTGACAGCCGTTGATTCGACTTTCCATCCCCCGTAGGATTCTTATCTGGGGATTCCTTCACTTTGATTTGTTTCTGATCTCGATCTCCAAGCTCTACCGCTCTGTAATCCTCTGCCATCTGACCTCGTTCGATGTTGTACATTTAAGATACCCGTCACGTTACTACCATCTCTATACCGTTCGATCTGGTCAATGAGCTGAAAGGTTAAATTCTCCAACTGGAATGTCGCTTAGGTGTAATTAACAAGCCATCCGTCTGTGGCGCACGACTTTCATTTGCAGCGTAATGACAAAGCGCGTCGTGGCCTGCAAACTAAGTCGGTGAGTAATGAGATCCCCAGCGAAGTTGAATTCCAAATTCCTCTGACTGAGATGTCAAAATTGTGGAAGATGACGAGGAATCTTCGGTGCAGAGCCGGTGTCTCATCCCTTGCTTCCAACTTACTAGAAACAGTTAAGTGACATGGAGGTTAGGAAAGAATAGGGAATAAGGAGTAACTCCGTGGATTCTTCTATGGAAAGTTCCACGCCAATAGTCAAACTTTGTGCGGGCGGGAGTTATAATAACCGGCAATATAGATGGATTTTGCAACAATGGTCGTCAAGGTCGACCACCGTCAACTCAAAACCATAAAAAAGTGGATGCTTCCATCCATGACGCAAAGGGGGTAATTATAGCATCCCAGGAAACCCACCCCGATCTGGTTCATGGTACGGATACTCCCCGTGCCACATAGAGAAAAGAGCTACGAGGCTGATCGACTCATTAGTACCAACAGTACAACCTGTCAATCCTAAATCAGGAGCGGTCCTGTTAGTGAGGAGCTTGATCGCTGAAACTAATAGGTAAAGGAATCAACTATGGGCTCGGCATGCTTACTATTACCGATCATACCTGAGGATTGTTGCATCTTGACATCCGGTTATCCATACACTATTGAGACCGATCGTCGTCGCGGTCTAAAGCCAAGGCAGAACCTTGATGAGTACCCATTGACGATGCCGCATCGCAACGAAAACCCGTCGCGGAAAGGTCCAAAAGGGAGTAAGCGAAAAGCCAATTGCCGCGGCCACACATCATCTCCGTGACGATCGCTCTGTCAGCCGTGGTGTAGGTTTCCACCTCGTCGATCCATGTTGGGACGAGAGCCTTCCTAGAATGGCAGGTGGGAACGGTTAGGTAGATGCGAATAGTTGAATACGGAGTAGTATTGCTCCAAGGTTCGGGAGTTTTGAATCTCTGGATACGTGCGTACTCCGGAGTTGTACCGTGGACAACCGATGCTCTTTACAGAATAATATGAGGCTCTACAACAACGTGACTGGAATACCACCTAAAGAAATGTCAGAAACCCATTGGACGGATAAATACGCCGTATTGACCAAGAAAACACAGTACGTGGGTTGTCCAGTGAGGTAGTATTCTTTTTTTCCCCCTACGTCAGCGGAGGCTGAGTAGAATGATTGAATTGTCCTGGTATCCTAGATTAAATTGCACTATAGTTTACACCGTGACTCCAGATCCAACCACTTTGATCTGAATATTGTTACTACTAGGTATGTACTACTAGTTACCCTATGTGACTCAAGATTCGAAGATTTTTTTTAAAAAAAAACCCCCTCCCCAATCAAATAGACCTGAAAATATGAAGAGTAATACGGAAAAAAGACTAATGTTACATTTCTCTACATGGGAGAACAAAAGAATAGTGCTTATAATACCTGGATCCTACTAGACCGAAGTTCGTCCCACCGCAGCCATTCATGCATTGTGCAGGTACCAGGGGTAAGGCTGCCACGGGAGGAGGGAAGAAGAAGACGATGGCTGCGTTTGCGAGGGAGTCCGTCGAACTCAATTTGGAGGGATCAGCCCCCTCACTCCGATGCGTGGAAAGTGGAAACCAAAGTTATAAAAATTCTAAAATATTCAATAAAAATTAATAAAATTAAATAAAAAAAATAAATAAAAATGGAAAAGTTTTGGAGCGAGATGCGTCGTTAGTCCAGGTTAGTTGCAACTGGTTTGGGCTTAGTGGGTGAGGTCAAAGTTTATCGGTGGTCAGGGTAAACTGCGGTTGATGCAGGGTGAAAATGGTCGCTTTGGGTCTGGAAGTTATGGTTATACCGTTATAGTCACTTCAACTTACTTAGACTCTGATAAGTTATAACTATTAGCTCGATCCGAGTAGACCTAGGACTACTACTAGTAAAACTAAAATAACTTACCGTCTCGCCGCGGCCCACGGTACTTGAAGGTCCCATTTGCCGTGTCCCAAGGTTTCTTTCCCTAAAACCTAGTTCGTGGGTTTGTACGGAGTACCTTCAGTATTGGTCTCCTTTTAGTTGGAGTGAGAGTATGCTGCAGGAACAATATGCAACATGGAATAAACTATAAAAATTTGGTTAAAAGAAAGAGAGAAAAAAAAAGAAAAGGAAAAATAACATTCTTGTCAATTGGCCACGCACAACCTTGTCACCTGAGTCCATGTAAAGGTGTTACAGACTAATACTTGGCAGCTCCTAGTGCTCTCTAGGCAGCCCTAACAGCAGAGAATTCTTCCTCGTAATGTTGGATACGGTGCATGGAACAAATGCAAGGTGGCTACTAAGCAAAAGAGTGAGAACTAAAAATCTGTAGGGAATTGATTCCTCCCGGAAAAGAGGGAAAAACAAGTTGTATCTTTATCATCCTCATCTTTAGGGCATGTATCATGTTGGCGGAGTCCTTTCCTGTCTGGAAGACTTCAACCATGGTTAGCCAGAACCTGACACAAACTGATTTAGGGCTTTTGACTTCTATAATTACTTACGATTGAGCAAGATTGAAGAGAGAACGGACCTTCATCACCAAGTGGAGGTCCCCGGTACTTCACCTCCCAATCAGTGACATTTAAGGTCATCTGTAAAATTTCCCCATCGAGACTAGATTACAATACGGGGCCCTCGTGTGAGTAAATTAACCAATACGCCAAGCCGTTCAACTCTCTCTCTCCCCGCTCTGCATACCGTTTTTTGTTCACCTACGCCTTTAGTCCGTATTCTCCACTATTCTAGTAGTGAATGAGCCATCTCTCCTGCCGATTGGAATCCCCGTCGGACAGACGTACAATCTTTGGAAATTTGGGCTTGTCTGGGATCCTCCTACGCATTCTCCACCCTTACATCCCCCTGGTGCCAAGCTCATCCTCGAGCTTCGTTCCAGTCACTCTTTCAACGATGTCTGTGCCCAATCAAAGCCGTAGATGCCGACGGGGTATTGGTGCCTCTGGTGAACGGACCCCCCCCAGTCAGTCCACTGGAACTGTCTCCCCCTCAAGCGATTGGGACCTTTGCCAGAACTGGGGAGGCACTAAGATGGCTCATCACTATTTCTAACTATATCTGACTATCGCCCCCCTCTTCAATGTTCTGGCTTCCCTCACCTTCTCACCCCAACCACGACACTTACCACTATCGTAAGACATAGTCCACATTTCCTGTCAATTGCAGTCGTTGCGCGACTGTGAGCCTCTCTGTGGGGTATCACACTCGAGGATCTCTTCTGCGTCGCATTCTCGAGTGCCTGGTTCTCGCCGTTTTGCAAGGATATGACCTCCACCCGCGATCTGTCGCATACACCACCCAACAAAGATATATAATAGAATCCCACAACATGACGAATCAAACATTGCACGGGCTCTGCCCGGAGCCTTTCCTCCAAGAGTCTTTCTTCCCGTCCACCGGTGGATGTATGTTCCTGTCGCCTCTTATATCATTGGTTGTTGACCGGTCGTGGGCTGGAGAGGACTAATCTGTGACTCAACAGTTACCTCAGGACGGTATTGTGCGAAGCTCCCGTCAGAAGACGGGACTATTTCCTGTTGTATTCCTTGTCCATTGGCAGACTGGATGTACGGGGAGGGTAAGTAGAGGTCCCGGTTCGCAGCGCGTTCCACACTTTTTCTAACGCGATCGACTCTCGGTAGACATCACTACAAAGGCGCAAGCTGCGAGTTGGCTGAGTGTGGCAATCTTGCCTCTCTGCATTTTCCTCCTTGTTTCTTATGCGGTTCTTCCGGCAAAATGGACGCATCGGCATTACCTGAGCATCTGCTTTACGTTGGGAATTTGCTTTATGGAGGTATGTAGTATGAGATGCCCCAAGAGTGGTGGGATGTGCTGACCTTTTAGCTTGCGTTTATTATTCCTCTTGGTGCCAAACCCGACCAGTGCTACAACGAAATTACACCAAATGATATGCATTCGAACTTATCCTGCGCATGGTCCGGTACTTTGCTCCTGTTTGGGGGCTGGGCGGTCGTAACGTGGAGTACGTGGTGCAAAGCTAACCAATTCGGGTTTCAACTGGCTAACCGTCACAGGCTTTATCCGTACCCTTGCATTTCATCTCCAGGTCTGCTGGGAGGTGATCCTCGGCAAGAAGTTCATGTGGGGGGCTTTAATCTGCGGCTGGGCTATCCCTGGTATCGGCATAACGGTCATGCTCATTTTGACCGGGGTATCCTTCCGCTTTGGCGACGTGTGCCATATCAACATCAAGTATGGAACCAAGGATTACTGGGCGCCGGTCATGGCTTTCGCTGGGGCTTCTCTGATTCTACAGCTCGCTACGATGGCTTACTGTATCCACGTCTACGTGAAATCCATCTTTGACACTACCGACTCCAGCACCAACAGCTCCCACCTGCCGTCATATACATCCAGTGTCCGTACCGTCACTGCGCGGCAGGCATACCGTCGCATTCGACGAGTCCTGCAGTTACAATGGAGAGGGGTCGCCTTGGTTCTGATCATCATCGGCAACGTCATCTTCTT